AAAAGACGTAGGTATAGATTACAGAGATAGGAGAATAATTTACCAACTTTATAAAAACCAAGAAACTACAATAGAGATAGGAAATGTAACGGAAAGAGCTAAAATTAAACAGGGAGTACGACAGGGATGTCCACTTTCACCTCTTATTTTCAATATCTTTATAGAAGCTGCAGTAAAAGAAATAATAGAAGTACACCAGGGAGGTATTCAAATAAACGGACAAAGGATACATTTTATAAGATTTGCTGACGACATAGCTGCCCTAGCTGAAGACTACACACAGTTTCATACACTTTTGGACATAATGAATAAAAATTTTAAAACATATGGACTAAATATTAATACTAAAATAATGACAGTAGCAAAACATAAACCCCATAACAGAAATACTACAAGAATAAAAAAATACAATTTGAAAATGTAGATACATTTAAATATTTAGGTAGTTTGCTTACCAGTGACTCCAGATGTACTAAGGACATTAATATCAGAATAGCTATAAATAAAAGGGCATTTAATGATAAAAAACATCTTTTGAAAGCTAATATATCAAAGTCCTCTCGGAAACAACTTATCAAGACCTACATCTGGAGTATAGCCTTGTATGCCTGTGAGACGTGGACATTGACACAAAAGGAAAGAGACAAACTGGAAGCCTTTGAAATGTGGTGTTGGAGAAGAATGGAAAGAATTAGCTGGAAAGATAAAATAAGGAATGAAGAAGTGCTTGAGAGGATTAAAGAAAAGAGACAGATCATAGATATTATTGAGAATAGGCGGGGAAAAATGTTGGGGCACTTGATACGACACGACGAACTAATTAACAACATTATAGAAGGAAAAATAGATGGAAAGAGAGGAAGGGGAAGACCAAGACACAGCTATATCAAGCAAGTTAAAGAAAAAGTTGGAGTCGTGTCGTATCAGTAGCTAATAGAAGATCGTGGATGGTGGCGGGAGCTCCACCGACAAAAGCACAGCTCTTAAATTATGAATGAATGAATGGGCGCTTAAGTATAAAAAATAACTTGATTCTATTAACCGACATAATATCTGTCAACGATTTATTTTAGTTTTACAGTAGCCAACCACTTACGTACATGGCGTATATAGCTATAGTTATGACTACTTGATCACATTTTAAGTGTCAGTAAGTGTTCCAGCAATGATATTTCCGAACCGATACGATATTGAAACTTTCAAGAAAAGAGATTATTCCTTCTTAAAAGGTCGGCAACGAACTGCAATTCACTTGGTGTTGCGAATGCTCATGGGTGGCAGTAATCACTCACCATCAGTTGAGCCGCAAACTCATTTGTCCCCTATGCTGTAAAAAATACTCCATGCAATAAAAAAAAGGCTATGCTATTCCTATAGGTTATCTTTCTATATTTATTATGTAAAATTAAAATAGGGAATGAATCATTTCTGAAACAAGACAAATACCATTTTACTGTTAATAAAAATACACGTCTAAATCTTAGCAGACGAACTCGCGGCCAGCAGATAGTATAATCGAACCTTGAGTTTGGACTTTTGAGCTTCCGTCAAATACCAAGATGACGGAGTTACGATAAATAAATTTATATTAATACAATAGTGCTTCAATATCCTTGAAATCAACATATAATCACAGTAGTTATTATAATAGGGCCACTTTCTCACAAACAAATGTACCAATATGTAGATAATCGTCTTTGACAGATCATACCAAGAATCAGATGGCATATTAATGCCATGGGAATTGATACAACAGATTCTATTACTCGCAAAATGCGTCTGTTCTCTACCGTCGCTTTTGATAAGTGTACAAAAACTGGTCAAGCCATTTCTGAGATTAATGAGCTCGAGCTCATAGATAAACAGACAACAATTCTAATAATTATTGTTTTTGGTTCTATTAATAAAATCCCCCTATTGATAATTGTTCTCTTATATCTTTCCTGAACAGATAGAAATCAGTTACAATTTAATTATATGTATGCATATACAATTATAAATATACAATAGCTATATACTATATGTAAATTAGGGTTATAGTTATACATACATATATACAAGATTTTTGTTTATTGACCTTCCTTTATTGCTACATAAAAATAGAGGTTAATCTTCGATTTCTAATAAACAAACTGCAAAAATTACAATAACCTTGCCTGTATTATCCTATATCTACTTAATATAAAACATAGTCAACCTTCACTTCACTATGCTTAGTTTGTAACTTCCTACATTGAGAAGATAATGTAATATCAATAGTGGTAGTTATACTAAATACTTGTAGATCATAATAATGTTTCGTACTTACGAAGAAGTGAGGAACTCTTATGATGTAACCTCTATTGGCAAACTGTACCGGTCAAGAAAACGGAAAGATAAATATAAATGTTATTAAATGGTACCTATTGTATACTTAACATAAAAGTATCTAAAGACGGCACGGTGGTCTAGCGGTTTAGCACAGCGCTTTATTTCCGAAAGTCACGGGGTTCGATTCCTCGCACGGTACAAACTTTTGTATTTATGAGTATGATTGTTTATGTCGGTCTGGGTGTTTTCTATGTATATTATGTATATATTTACAAAATTAAAGTCTACGTATTTGTATCAGTTATCTAATACCTATAATACAAGCTCTGCTTACCGTGGGACTTAACGGCGTTGTGTTAGTTGTCTAGGGTTATTTATTATTTTTATGTATCTTTTCTCTTCTTTTATCTTTTTTAGAATTAGGATGGTTTTCAAAATATTCAATGTAAACTTATTATTGAAACTTCGTATTTGCAATATTTTCTATTTCTTATTATACCACATTACTAGCTATGGCTATGGATTACTAATATTGTATTGTTATTGAATAAAATACATAAGTTTAGTTTCGCACAGCTATTTGTAATATATTATCAATATGATAATAAATAAATTTTATGAGCTGTAATTATTGCAATAATATTTTATGTAATTTTATTCATGCACAGATAATATTTATGTGTACATGAACAAATAGATTTAATTCCAAAACTATTGATTTTAATTATTCAATATATAACTTGACTTAAATATTTACAGGTTGCAGTCCAGGACAAACTTAGCTAAGACTTATGTCGAAACCGCATGCACAGCTTGTTGCACATGAAGACTTTAAGTCTAATAACACGCTCTCGTTACGCCATCTGTGTTCAGAACCCGCACGCTAAAATGTGATAAACCTTTGTCTCCTCCACTTATCTCGTACAACAAGAGCAACTCACTAATTTATTAGTCAACTTATGCAATACGGACGGATGCCCTGCCACCGGAGAGACGCATTTACATAAAACTTTCACGTTTATAGCTAAGGGTCACGTTTGTATGTCTAAACATTTGTGATCTCTGAACGAGACTCGTGAGATCATGCCAAAATAGACGAAATGTTTGAATCTCACGCAAAATAATACTAATTTTTATTAAGCGAAACACAATTATTAACTTTAATGGGAGAATTTTCTACTAGAGACCAACGAATATTTCAGCGCAGAACAAATAAATTTTTTATCCTTTGATATGAAACATTTTACTGGAATATACTCTGTAGACTAATTTTTCAGCGACTAATACATGTTTATTAAAACTATTTTTATTGTCACATTTAATTCAGTTATTTACTATCTACTTTTTTTATGTAATTTGAAAGGGAAATAAGTAGAAGAGCTACGTGATAGTGAGTTGTAATCGTCGTGTTGTCTATATACGCGAACAGCACTGCAGATATGTCAGATGATGTTATCATACGATGCCCATGGTACCACTTATGCGTTGCCAATCCAGAAATATAATGTGAACAATTTTGTCGAAGAAATTTTTGTCAACAGTTATCAATACCAGCATAATTAAATATTATACTTATCCAATTATTAATTTTAGCTTTAAATTATACCTATTACATATTTTAGATTTCTGTATCCAAAAAAACCCAAACAACAGAACATAAAAAAATAAAATTTATCAAATATTTAGTTAACATAAATATGAAATGGGTTGTAAAATTTTCACGTGAAAAACGAATAATAAAAATTTCTTTCAAGAAAAATATATTTAAAGTCCCTTTTTAATAACATAATTGTAAAGAAGAATTTATCTGAAAATTACATAACAAAATTATAAGTTGGCAACAAAATAATATGTCTATAGAGAGAATGAAGATTCGAAAGTTTTTAAATTTATGTTCCGATTTTCCAAACAAAGGTACATTTTTGAATGGCGAATATAACATTTTAAATTTGAGCGTCATCGCGGCGGGCACTGGCGAAGGGAGATAAGACAACAAAGGTTTATCAGGCCCGGTAGCTACGGAGCGAGCAAAGCCGTTGAATTACTCGGCAAGACCACTTGGCTTCAGCTTATCTATCAACAAAACACCTACAGTCGCCTATCTAGAAAGGTAACGAAAGGCTTTTAAGGGTTGCACACGATTGCCTCTAAGGACTGGTGTACTCCTTATCAACTTATGTTAATCTTACATAGGTTAATGTATTTTATTACAAAAAAAAAATATGCATGTATACCGTATATTTTGTAAATTCATATTATTCGGTCGTTTTTAAGTATATCAATTTAAAAATCACTAAACCTGCCGTCCAATCCGGCTAGTCACTTTATGTGAAAAGAAATGGCAACTCTATTTCTTTTTCTTTATTAAAACTATTTTAAGATGCATCGATTTAAATGTAATTCATTTAATTTGTTATTCTAGTTTAATTTAATTAAAAGTTAAAATTCCCCAAAGCAACGTATAAGGCACAAAATGAGATATGAGAGTTGATAATGAAAGAAAAATGTATTTAGGCTTTTTGCACTAATTTCTTTCACCCTATGCAGTCAGACTATTATGAATATGCGTATTCATAATATTGTCTTTAAGGTATATACATATTACTCGAACGGAAACAGTCTTGAAGACCTTCATACAGAACTAGTCCCGTGAAACTTGTTTTACATTGTTTTATCTGAGCATTGCAATCGAATTATCATCAGACGCGTCTCAAGAATCGTCTATTCACACCGCGTTATATTATAATTAAATAAACAATGAAGTTTATAATATTTATTACAGCAGTGATCTTTTTTGTCTCCGTAAATGCAAGACGCACTCATAATTATGATTATAAATTCGAAAATGCAGACAACACTCCTGCACCCCAATATAAAATAGAGGATGCGCCAAGATTATTTCATGAATTTATCCAAGCATACGGAAGGAAGTATAAAACTCAAGAGGAATATGACTATCGCTATCAAAACTTCGTTAACAGTTTAATTGAAATCAACAAACTAAACTCGGAAAAATCTTCTGCTACGTTTGGTATTAACATGTTTGCGGATTTGGCCTTTGGCGAAGATCCAACAGTGGCCTTTAGTTTGAATAACGGGTAAGATATTATATTATATATTATAAAAATAAAAATTCAGTAACCCCCATAAAAAAATAAATAAAATACTCTAATAAATTGGAACTAAAATTAGATCACGTCAGTTTTAAACTAAAAAAACGCATGAAACGTTAGCATTCGTTCCACATATACCATATATATACACAGATACATCAAACTTAAAACACCACTCTTTTTGAATCGGGGTAACTAATTAAAAATGACTCACTTCACTTACTATTACTCTATTTATGTATTTTATGTAAATATTTTTATCAGTCATATCATAACTATAATTAAAAATATCTATTAAGATGGTCAGAAAATTTATACTTATTCAGGAAGATATAATGATAATAATATGTTAAACGATTTATTTTTCTAAAAAAATTTAATTCACCCCCTATAAATAAGTATAGTACCTACATAAACTAAATTTAATAAATATTATATTTGTTTTATAACTTGAACCCGTTTCATTTTGTGTAATATATACAATATTAAATTTTGGATTAAAGCTATAAACTTATGATTTACGATAGGTCCTACAATATTTATTTAATAAGTATGTACATATTTACTGCTGTTTTTGAACAAAAATATTAAGAAATATTGCCTGCGTTAATGGTATATGCTGGTATATCATTTTAGAACACAACTATTTTGTTTGTTTATGACCTTTCGGTCTCTTATTATTGAGAGTTTTTCCAGTACATTATTTTTCAACTTTTACCCGCGATTTCGTCTGTCGTCTATTTTTTTTTTGAGATAAAAAATTATATATGTCCTTCAACATTATTATGCTGATGGACATATATTACCTTTTGTTATACACCATTATATATAATTTAGCCGGTTAGTCATTAAAAAGTAGCAAACAGATTGAAAGACAGACATATTTCATTATTAGTAAAGACAGACATTATTAGTATGCATTCCTGATATTAGTATAAACTGCACTCGCCGTCAGCATGAATGCTATTATAGTATAAACAATTTTTTTTTTTATATTGCTACATCTACTGTCAATTGATTGAGAAAAGGAACAAATTCTACATATACTCAACTTTGCAGTTTCGTATTTTTTCTGTATCTATGCTACGTGATTATTTCGCGAAAAGTGTACAGATTTTCATTATTCTTTTTACAGTCGTTAACGCGGTGCTCTCTTGTTAATAGTATTTTTGTAATATATGAACTCAAAATTTTCTAGACCAATTTTAAAAATTCTTTCGCTTATTCGTAGCTATATTATTAGCGACTGACATAGGTTATATTAAAAAGATATGTATTTATACAATTTAGTATATTTATTTCTGTTTTTAAATATGGATGTCAACAAATATATATAGTATTTTTATAATATATAACACATACATTTATTATAAGCTGTATACAGTATGTTAGGATCTGATCTCTCAATTGGTATAACCTGTTGTAAACATCAAGGCCCCCGGAACAAATGTACATAGGTACATGTAATATAAGTTAAATAAATAGCGATGCTTATAATATACTAAATATAATAAATATAAACTATAACCATAAAAGAATGGGTAGTGAATAAGGTAGAAAATTTATTCACATAGTCTGGTATAAATTGCAAAATACGAGCATATACCTACCCATCATAAGTCAATCTGATATTACCATCCGGGTATACTGGATTAACTCGTTTAGGAGCAAAACGTTAAAGTAAACGTTTTTAACCACATCGTTATAGGTGTTGTCAAGAGAATGTAGAAAATTTCACTCTTCATATTAATAGATTATTTTTTAAAGATATTACTAATTATACTGTGCACCTATATCGACAAAAAGTAAAGCAATGTATATATGTATATGTTTACCTTCCCTTGACCCTTGTATATTGGTTTTAAGACCGGTTTAAAGCACATCTAAATAACATAAATAAATCTATTTATAATCTCTTGCTGTACTCGTAGGTATGCGAGACGCCGGTTCCGGATTCGTAACCTTTTCTACCAACTGCTAAAAGGAAGAATTCTCTATTATGTGGTATTTTTTGTTACAGGATAATTGCCACAAAGTAGTTATGATTTCGATTAATCTTTTTAGGATCGTTGTGGGTTCACCCCCATGTTCAAACACCTACACCACGTAGGGGTAGTACACGATATCTATTCGGCTCTTTTAAAAATTTAAATGTATAGGTATAGTTGTCTTTCCCACAATACATTACATGGTCAATATAAGTCTACTTCATCTTGCTTAAATAGATAATAATCAGTATCAGGTATAGTCAGAATTATATTCAATAGGTTTTTAGTTGAATCAAATAATCGCGCAAAAATAATTACAGTATTTTTTATTGACTACCAGAAGTATGAGATTCTCAATCCACTCTACTCTACTCTAATTAGGAATCAAATGGAATATGCATGGAATGAAAAACGTAAGGTATGCATGCGATCATATTTGCATATTAATGCATTTATCGAAGTCTATTGAACACATATAAGGTTTATTTATATTTCTGTAGGTTTTTAAACAACACATATTTGTATATTTTATTTGATTTTAAAGTAGTCAGTTGTAGAAAACAATTTTATGTTTTTTCAATTTGAATCCGATCTGATCGCATCAAAAGTCAGTTCACTAAACGGTTTTCGATAATCCTTTTTGCAGTCGATCTTTTTGCAACCGAACCAAAATATGTGACTAACAGAGAAATAAACCCTATTTCTCTGTTAGTCACATATTTTGGTTCGGTTCTTTTTTATACAGCAATGGTTTCAAATAATTACTCATCTTATGTTTAATCAAATTGTGTAATCTATGTACGCCTGGGATATAGGTGTATATTCGCGGGTTTCACAAGGGTTTAGGAAACCTTAAAAATCCTTTTTTAACAATATGGTATATATTGTTGTCTCTAGTATGAATAAAGATGTATATACCTAGTCGCTATTCCTTTTTTGCAAAAGAAACCGTTTTTATTAAATAAAATGACAACATTCCAAATTTAAAATTGTTTTTAGAATAAACGTGTCAAGTCGTTTATTCGAGTGAACAATTTTAAATATGGAATAGACTTGTTACTTTGTTATCATCATTATTTCTTAATTTTTATTTATTTACAGTTCAAAGTAGGGCCTACAGAAAATTGTAAAGATTCTATAGTTATTCTTAAATATTTACAAATTCGTGAAGCTTTATTGAATAGTAAGCCAGTGTGATTCCAGTAGAGATTAATAATAGTACATAAAAAGTAGCTTGAATAAAAAATTACGTAGGTTCTATATAAAACAAGTTTAGGAGGTCAAAAGCGGGTGTTGCAATCGAATCATCAACAGACGCGTTTCAAGCTTCACTTGTTCACATCGTACTTTTTGTACGTAGTGCAAAATAATTATAAGGACGATGAAATTAATTATAATAATAGCAACAGTGACTTTGGTGGTCGCAGTAAACGCAGCCAAGAAAAGTTTTGATTATGAATTCGAAGACGCAGACGACACGCCTGCAATAGAATACAAATTAATAGATGCGCCTAAGTTATTTCTGGACTTCATAAATTCATACGGTAGAGAATATAAATCTGAAGAGGAATATCTCAAACGGTATCGAAACTTTGTAACAAATTTGGTAGAAATCAATAAATTGAACACGGAAGGCACATCTGCAAAGTTCGGTATCAACAGGTTTGCTGATTTGGGAAAAAACGAAGACATATCTGAAGCATTTACGTAAAATTCGGTGGGACTATTACTTACTATACGTACCTACCTACTTAGAAGTAAATATACAAGTACATAAATATATATAGCAGGTAACTCTTAAAAACTAATATATAATATATAATAATACCTCTCTGTCCCATTTTGCTTAATACTATTTTGTGTCTCATGATGACTTGTATTATTTTAGCGCAGATTTGTTTTATCTTTGCCAAAAAAATAAATCTGATAAAGAGCTGATTTGAAAATATTACAGACATATACTTACTTACTCCTAGATATAAAATCAGGATAGAACACTTAATTTAGCTAATAAAATTTGTAACTTAAAATTGGTAGTTACTATTATTATCATAAAATGTATATATTAATCCGAAGTTATTGTTTAAAAATATATTAAATGACTCATTGTGAGTGGCGTGAGAAAACCATATTTAAATTTGAATACACAATAAATTACTTTGAACTACAATTTGTTAACATAACATTTAAAATTAGTCGAATTTAAACTAGGAATATTTTTCCTAATAAACACTGTATTCTTATACTAATATTGTATTTATGATTCATGTCTAATTCTGCAACAGCCCACAAGTAAATTTTGATACTATTTATAGTATTATTTTAATATGAAATGCATATTTTCATACCTAATACTTTTTAATATTTGTTTGTAAATAATGTTTGCTTTAAATTAAAAAAAAAAAACAAATTATTTAGAATATTCATACAATTTTTATGATTCTCCTATAGATTAAAAAAGTAAGTAAATAGTAACAAATATGTATATCTTGTCAGATTTATCTATGTATACCGCATTATATATTGAAATCTGATACAAAATAAAAGAGCACAGATATTTTTTTATTTCATATTAATTTTCAAAATAAAGAATATTCTAAAAAAAATGAATGTCATATTATTTGTAAATTGACCCTGTCTTTCCCATATCCTGGGATCTCTATGACAACATAAAGTAAGCTATTGTAGGGTCGTTTGTGAACCGGAACACAACTTCCCTCCGCCATTACAGCCCGAATGAAAACTGAAAACAAACAAAGAACAGAAGCAATAAATGAAATAAATATTCATTTCTCTGTCGATTGGCGGTTTCGACTTGGTTTGAAGAGGAACGGCACAGTTTTATTATAGGCCCGTATACTACCCCCGTTACGTTGATTAGTATTAGTATGCAAATAACAAATCCGGTTGTTGATAAACGGACCATTCAATGAATAATCTTTGAAATAATGTTGCTTATTTTTATATAATCTACTATAAAGAAGAATAATTTCATGGTTGTCTCATGTGTTTTCATCATACGTAGGAAAATATTTCATTATCTCTTTATTTATAAAAAATAATCAATCCCATAATATAGGTACATTAACTTACAAAGTTAATATTGTTACCTCTTTGTCTTGTTACAACGCTATTTTTATTACTGTGTTTTTTATCATTAGGTATATACATAATTGTGTATGTAATTGTATTTTCTGTGAGAAGAACAATAAAGTTTCATTCATTCATTCACATTCTTTCAAATTATTATTAACAATAATAACCCGGATCAGTAAGGCAGATATTGTCAAAAGTAACATTTTAACTATATAAAAGAAGTAAGGATACTATTTCTGAGGATATGTTTATAATACAATAATAGTTATTTACCTAGGTACATGTGGTGACTATTATTAGAAAAGTTAGTCTCGAATCTCTAAAGTAGCGTCCGCGTGCATAATTTTCAATTTAAATGCTTTTTAAATCCGAAGTACCTACATGGGAACAGCGAATCTCTAAATAAACTTCTTTATACTGTAAATGAGATAAAGAGCACAATGTATTGCTACTCCTTTTTATTCCCTAAATGCCGTTTAGTTCTTTAATTATTGTAGCAGATTTATCTCCATCTGTTGTTGTTCTGTCTGTCCAATATTGGGTTCTGTATTATATTTTTAAGAAAAACGTTAATAAATTACTAACGTAGGAACGTAGTATCGCAGACAATCTGCGTTAACACAAAATCAAATGTCTTAACATTTAATTCAATTTGCTAATCCCGGAATATTCGGCGTGGAAACGAAAGGGAAATGAACGGCCGTTAACTGGAACACATTAATAATCTCGGTTAAAGAATTTTGCATAGGGACGTTTTCGCCTTGTCGGGGAAGGGTCGACACAAGGCGGGCATAATGAATTAAATTAGGTCCCGCTGATAACCTCTCGGCACAATCTCGGGCTAGTGCTAGGGACAGGTCATAGATATAGAACCGACTAGATATGGTTCCATAACACACTAACTCTTTTAACAAAAAAAAGGTATAAACTAAAGGTATTGAATAATAAAAGTACTGAACTACTTCGAGTGTGTACAATGTCGTCTGTACCCAGTCTGTAATTCGGTAGACGGTGCGATAAAACTGTGAAATCACAGGGTACGGAGACACGACATCTTAGTGCTACATATTATCTTAACTGTGGGCTACGAAACAGCACCACATAAGCGGTACCACGGACATCATGTAACCAAAAAAGTAATGTTGGTGGTATTATTTTTCAAGTATAGGTATAGGCAATGATTAATCACTCACTATAATGTGAGCCGTTAACTTATTTACCATTCCTGTAATATACAAAACAAGTACAAATCTCTTACCTCTAATACAAAAACTCCACTGCAATCATGAAAATTCTGTAAGAAACTAATAAGAATAAACAATGAAAATAGTTAATTGAAATGACGCCAAAAATGCGAATTCGGTCAATTGCTTTTTACCTATTGATCAGTAAGCTCTCTTCTACATAGAGCTCTTATTTTTTCCAAAATACAAAATAATACCATTTTTTCCCACAATTTGAGACCTTCTTTCGACTGGTTCTAATAGTGTACAAAACTATAGTTTACTAATATAGCTAATAGAAAACAATTTTCTAATTACAGAGTATCCTTACTAACAATAGTTGCAGTTAATTATAATTGCTATGTTAGTTTTGTAGGTCCTTATAACACTAATTGTGTATCCTATTGTAATAGTAAAATAAAAAAAACATTAAAGAAGCGATTCCCTATCAACTTTAAAACTCAAAAAATTATCGAATTGTTCTTATTGGTAGTACGTAGAATATACGCAATTGAATATTTTACCTTTACCACTAAATTAACAAAGTTTTTTTTGGAAACATTTTCTACGAAGATCAGTCCTCAAAAGTTAGTCATCATAATAATAATGATCACTCATGACATCTCTGGATAAAGATGAGATATTAGTAGTAGAAATAGTATAAGGTACCTAGTTACTATTGACTTGAAAGGATGAATTTCGCATTACACTTAGCATTACACCATTTTGAAATTAACGACGTGTCAAAACAAAATAATCTAGCGGCGTAGAGAGGATTGTAATTAGTAATGGGGATTAAAGTACGCTCTGGAAACCATTCTATTAATACCTATTAAATTCACCATTATAGCCGGACTGTCCAGATTTCATCATTATTCTAACATCCTCCACTGGTTCCGCCTTAGCATACATATATCGTTAGCGCTGGAGGGTGCACATATATCTATAGGAAAAGTCAAAACAACAATATATTTATTTGAAAAATAAATTAGGTATATCTGAAATAGTAAGCTCACTTAATACCATTATCATTATAACATAACATAACATATCATATCATAGATTGTGTTTATCTAAAACACAACATGTCAGTTCACAAAAACGGGGAATATTTAGAGACATTTTACGAGTTAGTCTATCCAATGCCTAACAACCTTAGTATAACACTTAATGGTCTATTTCAACTGTAGCTCATATACAAGAACAGAACAACAGATAAAATATCATCTGACGCCGGATACATACTATGCAATTTCCTGTAACTAAGATGTTATGGTTCCATTCCCTATAATTTTGTACCATATCTCACACTTCAACTAAAACACAGCTTTAATAAAACAAATTAAGAGATATATATATACCCATTCAGACAGCTCTCTTACTTAATTTATAGGTATTTTGTACAAAGTCTGCATTCATATATTGTTTAAAGACACATCTAGAATCATATTCAATATATTCATGTGAGGGGACAAGACCTTGCTAATGTCAAGTGGCCCGAAGCCCAAGAATTATGTGCATAACGCCTGCTCTGTGATTTATCTCGTTTGAGATTCGCCCCCACATACATATGTATCGCCACATACATTTTAACGTACGCTTTTTGACCGCTATTGAAAGGACACGTGAGAGCCTCCTTTTTAGATATTTATGTGAGATTTTCTGCTTTCAGGAATTAATCGAGTGTCGACTTACCCGAGATTTCAAAGCAGTAAAAATAATAAAGGACATTTTCATCAATAGGAAAATTCACCATTGTATAAACATCATAATGAGTATTTATGCTTTTATAAAAGAAATAAAATTAAGTAGGTATTAATGTCACCTATTAATGTAACCCATTCATTGCACTACAGATATGACAAAATATTTTTTAGGAAAGTAGGTAAATGTTAACATTGCTGTTATTTATTTTTAATTATAATTGTATAAAAATAAACAAGCTTTTATAGACCAATTTCATGATAACTCTAGAACGAAACATCGACGTGAACAAAGCTCTATCAACATCGTTAAATAGAGATAATTTTACACACAATAAAATTTTGATGATAATTAAATAAATACGATTCTTTCTTTCTTTCTTTAATTACGCAAATTATATCTAGTTACACGTCTGCTAGAATTGAAGTTCACGAAAATTTCCCGAAAATTGTCCCTGTAGTGAACCACTAAACCATGACACTGAACTGCTTAATAGCTTCTATAACTCGGATATTCCCAGTGGACCTAGAATAACAGACAATACTTATAGTCAGATATATACTCGATCTAACTAACAACACGATATTGGGATACAATTGGGTCGAGATCTCATTCTGTACTGTACTTATGTCCTTAGAAAATGATAGCTGTAGAAACAAATATATCACCATCATCATCATTATATAATAATATGATCATGCTGATATTTTTTTCTTCTGTCATAAGGACAGAAGAAAAATTATTATTTATTTTAGACATTTTGTCTACTTTTTTATCGTTAGTGGCAAACGTCGAGACTTCGTCTATGTTGCACAAATAGCACCACTGCAACAGTGTTGATAGAAGAGTAAGGACAGCAATCACATAATAATAATATAAAAATATCTCAAGACAATTCACACAGCACCATTTTTTCACATTTTTTCTTCTAAATAAATACATAATATACATAGAAAACACCCAGACCTATGCAAACAACCACACTCATGAATACAAATGTTTGTACCGTGCAAAGAACTGAGCATGGACAGTAAAGCGGTGTGCTAAACCGCTAGACCACCGAGCCCACACCGTTAAGTAATGCACTCCATTCCATTCTATTGCAGACCATTAAAATGCTCGATCCTGTAATTTCATATCTGCCATAAATTATATTTAAACCTCAATACAACTTATAAAGCAAGCTGCTTGGCGCCTTAAATAGATGAGAAAGAGACACTCAAACAGAGGGGTTTGTAATACAAAGTCTAATTAACTAAAATAAAAACCAAAATACAACATTTTTTGCTTACATATTACCTTAAATTTTCAAATACAGAACAATATTCTATTAGTAATAGTTTATTTACCACAGCGCAATTTCAAAATTGTACGTTTTACTTTCGACTGCGAATTGAGTATTGTAAGAACAAATTTCCACTAAGTCATTTAAATGATGCGATGAAAAATCCTAATTAAAATACTAGTAAGACAATAACACTTTATACACAAAAATATTATCGTTTAACTTAAAAGACTCTGCATCCAGGGCAAGAAAATATAAGAAAAAAACTTAATGCTCTGTGTTTGGTTTCCGGACGTTCTTCAGTTACTAACTTCATGTCAGTTTAGTTCATTCACTTTAGTTGTCACTTGTTATTGACATTTTCCATATGTTTCTCGTCTTTCTATCGTGTAAATTTACTATTTAACGTACAATTTTTGTGAATTAAAATTAATTTAAACAAAAACAGTAATGGGTTGTAGACTCTAGTTCCTTTATAAATTATTGATTTTGAATATCTGAGGAGTGCAAATTGAGGTAAGCTTTTTATATATCAACAAATAGGTACAACTGATTGATTTCGTAAACGTTGCACTGTATTACGTGAACTAAACTTACCTCAGCGATATAATTTGTGAAGAAATAAATATCCGGCACATATAAATAAGTATTTATTTAAATCTGTGACGATATAACCCTACAATTTATTATAAAAAATAACAATAAGTACATGAAAATGTGTCATTGGTTTTTCATAAATTCAGTCTTTAACTTTATTTATTTACCTACTTACAAAAAAAATATTTTTAAAATCAGTAAGTAATTTTATAAGTATTATTATATAAATGTAATTTATTCTATAACAGAACCTACCTGGGTGGTTGATGAATCTAAAAATATATTTTACGTAATAAATTTTATTATCCTAATAATGGCTACTTTACATTGTTTATTTATCCTTATACACACAATAAATATAGTTTAATTTCATTAGAATTAGCAAAATGTATAAATTTAAAATGACCCCTCTGACTGGATTGAAGCATAGAATGAAGTAGAAGAATAAACTGGTTTAAGAAACTAGGTGTATTAAAATTTTCATTGCTTTTAACCATAATAAATATAAAGTTATTGTACAGAATAAATCTGAATAGATTGTCATAGTATACACAAGGTATCAAATACAATATTTAATTGAAAAACATAAATAGCACTCACACTCATTTTTACAATTAGAAAATATTGTCACTACTTTCAAAATTAAAAAATATTAAAATAAATTTAAATTTAACATATATTTAATTGAATAAGTTGTTAATTTGCAGATGTTTATTTTGTTACTTAATAAATTTATATTTAGTTTAATTCCGTTACAATTAGTATCTGTGAGGATTACAAATATTCAGTGAGGAAACTTATACTTCTCTAATAGTGATTTAATTTCAACTGTTACTGAGTGTATCCATATTGTAACACATGTTTCGCCTCTGAACAAAATTAATAATTAGTCAAATTTGAAAACTCAATGCCTATAATATGAATTTTGTTTCTCTTATTGCCTTAATAACTTAAACAGAATAAAAGAATTTATTAAAGTAGTTGAATGACATTACACATTGTTATTCTTACTTGAGACAAACTTGAATACTGCACTATAGGGGTGCTCAGTCTATTTTATTGCAGGGAGAGAAACTTTGAGAAGATCCCGAGACTACTGAGACACCGGTATACCTATATACAAAGGGCCACTTGCTGATGCAAATACATACTCACTTTCACTACTCATGATGCTCGCTCTGACCAACCAAATCAAATATGATACTATACTAAGTTTGGATGCTCGCTGAAAGGATCTTAATTAAATTTTATATATTATAATCAATCACTGACTATTCTCGTATTGTCACATAGAGAAGATGGGGACAGAATTTAGTTAGTATGATGTTATGTAGATAGTATGAGGATTGCTATCTACATAACATCATACTAACTAAATTTCCTTATTAAAATGGGTATAATTGTAAATAACAGTGATAAAATTTTAAATAGTGTTTTTTAAAAAATTCTCTTATCAAAATCAAGTTTATAGATTACATCCTGAATTACAATTATAACTTTTATTATTTAGCATTAACATTGTAATGTGCACGCACAATGGCCCGAATGAAAGGCTAATTGCGAAGACTGGAGTCCAACATACATACAACATTGTAATGGGTGACCAATCCCCATCCCACTATACTACTGGTGCAACTATAGAGATATTTTATTACATCTCCCTATTTCAACCACCAAGCAGCTTGCTTTATAAGGTATGTAATGGTTGTAGGGTGCAGATTAGGCAGTAAAATTGCAGAACAAGAAACATGAAATCTTAGTTCTCTGGAATGGCAATGTACATATGACCAGTATTGTGGGTGTATAATATATGGAGTTCTCATGATAATCTAATGTCCATAGGTAAAACCGATTCTTTCCACTAAAATTATTAATAATAATAAAATTATAGAATTTGATATTATTTATACCAATAATACAATATTTAAATAAATTTCTGGTCTGTATGAAGTATGTATCTTTGTTTATTACCTTTCCTCAATTTAAAAGTTTGGCTTTCTCTCCATCTCATGTATTATGTTTTGAAGGTAAATTGAACATCATTCATCCTTTATAGATGCCACTTTATAGTAGCATGTATGTAGTAGAATTATTACTATTTACAATTATTTATGAAAGCTTGGTGATATGAGTAATCCACACCGCCTTACTTTCGAGTGCGGTGCGTTCGATTCCTCGCAAAATACTAATAATTATATTCATAAGTATGATTGTTTGTATTGTTTTCTGTGCTTTCAATGTATTACAGACTCTACTTAGGTTACTAAATAAAATAGGAGCGAAATTACAATTGGCCAGAACCTTCTGAAAACAATCGTGGTTATCTAATTACTACTGAATTCGCCACGATGGCCTAATTCACTCAATTTATCCTCATTCTATAATCTTTCACTAGTGCCGAGGCAGAACGCTATTGGTTATATATTGTTATCACCATATATACCAATCAACTAATCATATAACATATACACGCAAAAAATATACTTGAATTGAAACAACTTCCTTCTTTTTTATGTTGGTGGAAATAACCAACACAAGCAAACTGTTTGCGTATTCGGGACTAGTATGCTATGAAAATACAGTCGAATAGGGAACCGCATCCTATTCCAAATTGTTTGCGAAATACAATAAAAAAGCAAACTAAGGTTCTCGGTATGCTCTGATTGCTGTAACTAGGTATAATTTCAATTCACTGGCGTCAATTGAAATTACATATTAGTAGTGATGCAACAATACAATCGTTCATTATAGCCAAATGAGTAGTTAGTGATATACCAAGGCTAATTCAGTAGTGAGACCGGCGTGTCGTGCAAGCTAACGTATGTTTAGTAAGCAAATATATATTTTTAGTTGGTATACCTACGTTTTCAATCACATTTACTTCAATCTAGTTACATCCGGATTGGTTCTACTAGTTATTGGTGAGTTTAATATTTTGTAATAAAAATTTATATTGCATAGGTATAACGTATAATTTACAATTACTCTTTTTTATATTATTCTATATCTTACATTTGTCACCTTTTTTAAAAGATCTTGCAGACATTTACATTTAGGTAGATTTCGAAGATACAGATAAAAGTTTATATTTTATTTTAGAACTAATATTCCTCTCAACTTTGTGATGTTTACAGAATTTTTTTCTAATCAAAATTTGTTTTTATTTAGGTAGGTGTAATGTAATACTTGTTTCAATAAGCTTCTTATAATTTCCCGTATCCCAATACTTTATAATAAAGTAAAACGTAAAAATTAATGCACAGTGTACATAGTATGCAGTTATATAAACATGATCAAAATGTCCCTTTCGCGCAGACAGCTTTAGCTTTATAATTGCGTGTTAATTGAGATGCTTTAACCAATTTATTAGAAGAGAAATCTATACCATTATACGTTTGTAATAATTAACTTAATTACCAATTTAGCAATCTAATTGAACGATCCCTATGTAATGATACTTATGATTACTTACTTCAAAGTCAAATGCAGTCATATTCACCGGCTACAATGTAGGCGAGTACCTACAGTGTGGACTCCAAACCCGCAAAACGGACTTTTGGTGTAACTGAATACTATCTCCTGCATGACGGATACAAGTGGACTTAGGGCTTCGCTAGAGATTCGAATATCATCGTAGTTCAGATCGTCGTAAATTCGATCCCCGTTGGAATGAGACAGTGGATTGATCGTAGAGCAAGCATGACTACGACGATTATTAATTTAGGTAGGCATTAGTGCCTACCGGCAAAACCAAGGGCAACACTTAGTGGTTCCCCGTGGTTTTGCCCTCACGGAATTCGTTAGCTCCTGTGCGGGAAATTCGGGAGTTAACTTAATATATGCTTATTTTATGTAAAGATAATTATCTCTTTTGAACATGTTCTAGGTTTTACTCTAGTAAAACGTGGGTCTACCCACCGATTTTAATCGTGTCGTGTTCAGAGATTATGCTGTTTTTATGTTTATAATAATCCTACGTGATATCTTTTCAATTTCAGTGTTGGTATATTATTATGTTTTGTGTTTTTATTTAAAGTGATTCCAATGTTGTTTCATTTTAACCATATTAAAATTATTTTCTTAGACAACTAAACAAATATTTAACCTTTATAGTCAGTTAAAATTTTTAAATTATTCTTTATTATGTGTAGTCTTATCTTCAATGTAGCTGTAACTAACAAATGATTACCACACTGTTGGTTCAATGAACTTATCGTTAATTTCGTAGAATAGGTATATAAATTATTTTGAGTCGTATTGACTTTTGTTTTCTGTCGGCATACTATTGAAATTTAGTGGTATTCTTAAATACTATAAATTGAAATTCAAATATTACGAGGATGTAATAACAATAAAAAATAGGTATAAATTATATACTGTTTTAAATTTGATGCGGTTACGTTTTATATTTATTTGCTGAGTTCCCGATATTTCAGCAGTGTTTCAATCACCATGATCACCGGTTAAACATGGTAAGATATCGTGATTTTTACTTATTACCTATAAGTAAAAATCACGATATCTTACTATTTCTATTATTAAAAATACTACTATTAAAATTATTTCTAAAATTTATCGATCAACCTACTGATATGTAACTGATATTAAACTTTATATTGTTAACCGAGTCTTAACAATAATTATTATATGGTAAATAAAGGTATAGATGTTTCGACTCTCTCGACGTTTCGACTAGGTTGCACTAGCCGTGGTCACTAGATATTAAGATAGATATTAAACTTCTAAAAAAGATATAAAGAGTGTGACATGTTTTTCAAGCTACAGCTTTAAGACTTTTGTCTGTTGCATGTGAAAAATATAAATATTTTTGTAAAACCACTAATGTAATAAATAATGGTATATTGGTATATGTATCAATAAATTATTTTATTGTTGAATGTATAGTTAGTTACGTATCT